TTCGTCGCGCGATTTTGAGCTAAACTATTTAACTACGTCGTAGTCTTAGACTCCAAAAATTAAACAAAAAAATGGGACCCACCTGTAAGCATTACCTTTCGGATAAAAAAAGAATTATCCAAATCGGGCCACTAGCGGCGGAGTTATGCCGTAACACACATAAAAAAAAAATAAAAAAAAAATAAAAATATACCGACGAATTGAATACCTCCTTCTTTTGGGAAGTCGGTCAAAAATTACATATACTTGAAGAATACGTTTGTTATCATTCTCACTAATATTCGTTTTGCCGTAAGTTTAAGTGTACAAGCACGTGGACAAAGCATATTGTCTATGATTTTTCACATTCATTGGAGGTTGTCTATTATTTTTAATACAAGTGTTTCAACAGTGAAAATACACCTTTACACTGCTGTGTGTTTTCTCCTCCTATATTCAGACAGATGAGAACTACTTTACTTCTGTGCTTTGACTAACTGTATCATATATGAATCTAAATAATTGTCATATTACTTCTTACTATATTACTAATATTATAAATGCGAAAGTTTAGATGGATGGATGAATAGATGGATGTTTGTTAGAGTTTGTAACTTAAACGGCTGAACAGATCTCGATGAAATTCGGCATAGACGGTGAGAGTCTGGAAGAGCTTATAGACTACTGCTTTTGTTTTTTTTTTTATATCACGCGCGAAGTCGCGGGTGAAAACTAGTACTTATAATATTATCAATCATCATCAATCTCAATTAAGATGTTTGTCAAACAACATTTGCATAGTGAACCAGTGACAGGTGGATAAGATAATTTCATATCATAACATTTGATCGCATCATTAAATCAAATGCGTAGTTGTTTATTTTGAATCCAACATATTCTTCGACTCAAATTCGTCATTTTCTTCGAGTATCGTCTTAAGATTTGTTTCGATTTTTTTTTACTGACTACTTTTTATTACATAAAAATTAAAGCCACATTCATTAAACACGCATTTGTTACATTTTTTAACGTTAATTTAACTTGGAACCAAAAACACCTAACATAATTAAAGTATTTAAAAATTGTTATAATCTGATCAACCTTCGTGTTATATACGTCCAATCCAAACATCACAGTAGCAAATTTAATGCGAAATCGAAAGCATCAGAAATAGATTACAATAGCAGACTGCACGCACTATACTGTACAACTTGCGAATTTCAGTGTTCCACAGAACTACATCATCGATAACTAAGAAATGTTTTAAATAGCGCATCTATAACACGTGTTTATATATTGCTTCCGGTTTACGATCGCTTCGTAGCTCTATATAGTTAAAGAAAACGTATTACTGCAATATTCATCAAAGATTAATACAGAAATGATTTTGCTTTCTTGTGTTTAAAGGATAGATTTAGAAAATACTTATAACATAACATTATAGTTTGTTCAGAAATGTACCCGGTACAAGCAAGGCAATATTAAGAGTAATAAATGAAAAGAATTAATGGACAAATATTTCAAAGATATTTTTTCTTTTGATACTTGAGCGTAAAATGCTACTCTAGGACTGTTAACTAAATTGTTTCCATATGAAAAAGTTACTTTAGTCTACTAATAAATCCAAATACAAAGGGCGATACAAAAAATACGAACAGTTGTTTACATTCGCAAGGATCTAATTATATCGCGGTATAAATCAAGATTCGCCTTGACATTGACTCGAAACAGCTGCGGACCTCCGTGTCTCGGCTCGTTTACCAAAATACGCAGAGATGTATAGTTTATCTTTTAATTTCTACATATTAAAATGTTATTTATTATTTGTACTTCCTTCTTCCTATTAAATAATACGATAATTAAAAATAAAATACATATGGAGTGTACTAAACATAATATGTTTGCCTTGAAAAGTCGACGTCGATTATGTAGTTTTTGTCTCCGCATTCTGTTAAATGCATTTTCGCACTTTTGCAGTACGTTTATTATGTTTATAAATATGTAATCTGTGAACGTTATGTGCGCACTTTCATTTTTCAGACCGTAGCAGCTACATATTAAATATTATTAAGAACTAGGTTTCGCGCGCGACTCCGCCCGCGTGGAATTAAAAAAAAAACAAAAGTGAGTAGCCTATGTGGTCTTCCAGAGTATCCTCTTCGTCTTTGCCAAATTTCACCGAGATCCGTTCAGTCGTTTAGGCTACAAATTCTTACAAACATCCATCCATCTAACTTTCGCATTTATAATACTAGTAAGAGTAAGATTAGTAAAATTGTTGTTTGGGTGGATGGGAGAGCGTAATATGTGATGTTGTTACAGTAATCCAGTAATATCTTATTTATCACTGTCAATTGACAATTATAGTTCTATTTTTAAATGTATCTCTGTACCAAGAGTTACGACAGTTGGTTGCTATGTCAGCGTTTATCTCCCGACTGCGGCCTGAGCCCGCGGCCGACGGCAGGCGGGTGACGCGTATCGTGTCGTGCGTACCCACTGGCAGGTCGCCAACGTCACGACAAACGGCCCCGCGTCACTCAGTATCATTGTTATCTCAGTGCTCCTCCAAAGTAGTGGTTTTGTCTTAATATACCTTAGTTTATTTTGTCTAATGATCAGGTTTCCACTGAATCATAAACAAAAGCAAATAATTCGAGTTTAAAAAAATTTAAGGTGGTAGAGGCAGTACATTCCGTTCATTCGACTATAGCTAATTGTAATGTAATTGATAGAAACCGAATAGAATAGAGCGTCGGTGGCTCAAAGGTTTAAGCACTTGATTTGTAATCTGCAGGTCTTGGGTTCGAATCCCGCCATGTACCAATGTAATTTTCGATTTTTCATATGTACATAATTTACCCGACGTTCTTACGGTGAAGGAAAACATCGTGATGCAACATGCACATATCGGCGCACGCACTTGGCCATCGTGGTTGACTATGGTCTAGTCACACCTTGTTAGAGTAGGCTTCGAGCCCCTCGGTGGGGACGTATAGTGCGCTGATGATGATGATGATAGAAAGCACTGCATATTACCACAGTGAAAATTAATATATCTTTTAATCATAAACAATAGTAAATGATTAAATTTATCAATTGCGTTCATAGTAAAGCATCCAGAGACAAATGGCATTACAGCCGTCAATCAAACTACGAGTGTTGATGCCGCGGCCAAAGCCACCTGCGAATTATTTACTAAAGATACATTATGTAGATATGTGTAGTACTTTAAAATTCACTTGAAGTCGAGCCAATAAAATACTTTTAAATAACACGTAACGCTTCTGAACCAATTAAGGTTAAAAGAAGTATGAAAAACATTTCTGCCCAAGTTAAAGTATCAAAATGCTAAAGAATTAAATATCAAGGGAAATTTATGAATTACTCCACTAAGATACTTTTAAATATGTCATATTAAAACAAATTAAACGCGTGAAATAAAACACTATCAAGTATTTTGAGAAGCAAATAAAGCCACGGTCGTGGGAACTTTTGTTGTCCACGATCTCAACTCATCAATGCCAAATAACAGTATTCTACATTGGTAACAGTAACTAATTGAGTCAAGGGTAGAAATGAGTACAGTATGTTTGTAACTCATTGTAAAGATCACTTGCTGTCCTCAAATTAGTAGAACAAAAGTTGCGGAAGGCGTCGTCAACTAAAACTGTACAAGCGAGGACGTCATGTTTCTACACGCAAGCACCACACAATTAATGTTAACCATATATTTTCACTGCTGAAACAATATTTCAACTTTTCCTAAAAGAACAACAGAGGTAAGCATTTTTGCTTGATCAATGAAAACCCACACTTATAACAAAGCGAAAAAATCCTGAGTCAGCATTTTTAACGATACTTTTCTTTTTCAGACAAACAGGTTCGGCAAACAACACTGGAGAAGTTGTGGAACAAACAATCTGGAGCCATACCAGTACTCATCTCTATTTTAGAAGTAAGAGCCATATTGTAGATAATTTTTCGTACGCTACGTAGTAAAGAAGAAAATGTAATTCAAAGAATAATAATCCTAATAATAAAGCATGAAACCTTAGTCTCTTTAACATACAGACATAAAAGTAAGTAAAAAGGAAATTATTATAATGTTTACTAATGTTCTATTGCAGAATACAAGAGATCCTGCAACATCCACTTACATAACGTCGATTTTAAGAGAAACGCTGTGTTTGAAACAAGGAAAAGGAAAGAAGAATATAGGTAACTATGGTTAATTTAACCAATTATTACATTTTACTAAGATAGATAGTAATGGAATAATAGCTAAAGTAATTAGGTAGACATAAAAAACTTGTATGTATTTTTAATTGTATTTATTCGTATAAATTATATCAGCCTTTAGTTATTTGCTTTTCAATTTTTATTTTAACTCAAAAGGCATTTACGGATATGGTATAAGACAAAGAATATTAGTTAGAACTCATTTTATTTTTTTTAACTTAATGAAACATCAGCTGCTAATGAAAATCAAGGAACCAAGAAGAAAGAAACGAAAAAGAACGGAAAAGAAAATAAAGCACCTTTAAACAAGAAGGGTACGTCCACTGCTGTGGCCGCAATCGCTTTACATGTGTATTCCGTTCTTAATTCTGTTGCATTTGTTTTTTTCGAAGAATCTTTTGATAACATTAAGTATGCATGACTTCATTTTCTTACCACATTAGGTAGCATTGCCAATCACCTTTCTCCTCTTCGTGTGATCGAGTGACATTACCGTCATGCCTGCAACCTGCAATTGCCTGCAACGATTGCTTAACACTGGACCAATTGAAACTTGACCTTGTAGTGATGTATGTTACATGCTCTCGACAATGCAAATTAACATTCTCACTTTGTAATGCACATAGCATGCAAAGCTACGAACTAACATATTTTTTGTTCTAATTTGTCCTAAAAATTCATATTTCGGAGTAATATTTTATGGTATTATCTTTATAAAACAAAGTTTATTAGATTTACCGTAAAACGATTTAAAAAAGAAGCATTTCATATATTTAGAATGTAAAGAAATTTAAATGTAAAGTAAGTTATGAGTGAGTCTTACATGAAAGTCAGTTTTTTAATCCATTTCCTTACAAACATTGTATATAAAATTACACTTACTCTGTATGCGAATAAGGGCTATTATAGCAAACAATCTAGTTTCTTATAATCATCAAACTTAAGCCAATTTAGGACTAGATTAGACATGATCCGAATCGTTACGCTATTTTGTGCTAGAATCTTCTATATCAATAATTTGGTGTGGTTTACATTATTGTGGTAAGACCATTAATGTTCCCCTATAAAACAATTTTAAAGAAATAAGCGAAAATAGGAGTATCCACAGCATTAAACCACCACCACCAACAAATACCATATAGTCTAATACAAACATAATTGCACGTTAAATTGACGATATATGCAATATAAGACTAAGCGCCTTTTCAGTGTGTTGAATAATACGTTTGGTTATTTTTTTATTTAATGCACTCATAGATATACTTTCTTAATGTTTTTCAGCTAACAATATCGCAAGACAACAATGTACACAACATTTAATCTCCATCAACGGTACTCAAGTTATACTCCGGACCTTGATCAATACTCAGTGCAAGCGAGATAGTACTGTTGGTACTGAATTAATGGTTCAGGATCTAATATGGATTATAGCTGCTGTAGCACCAAGAGGTAAGCATCGGAATCTTATTATTTTTTCTAATCACAAGTTATTAAACTGCAAATTTGCGCCTTGTAAAATTTAATAGCATTTTATCACTAGTTGTTCATTTTGCAGATCCCAAATTCGCAGTAAAAGTGAGAATGATCGGTTGTGTTAGAACAACGCATCTAATATTCAAAGGACATTACACAGATAATAAGCTTATATTTCCGCTTTTGGTCATTATTAAACAACTGTCAAAAAATCGTAAGTATCATTAATTGAAATATTAAGCAAATTACATATTAAAATTCGTATTATTCTATACCCATAATATTTCACTTACAGCAGTGACAACGTCAATTCTGATCCGAGACGGCATCATCACGACGTACGAGCGCGTGCTGGTGACGCTCGGCTACATCCCTACCGCACGCCTGCGACTCTGTCTGGACGCCATTGATTATTTCAGCAAAAATAGTAAATATCACATACTTTTGTTTTATTACGTCGAAGGGCGAACCATGGCCATTTAGATAGAGTAATGAAAATGGCTTGCGAACCAGAATTAACTTAGAAAATCATCACCTAAACCTTGCTAACTTATGATTCGTCAAGTCCATTGCATTTTGACTAAACATATACAATCTATAATGAGACCTTAATAAACTTGTAAATAAGGATGAAACAATATATTACAGAGGTATGCTGCATGCAAATTGTGAAGACTGGTCTTAGTGGTGTTCTACTCCGAGTGTTCGACCGATGGGACCGCTACGAAGGACGGATGAGACTCAAGATTTGCGCACATATTTTGCAGACGCTACAGCATCTTTGTAATATCAGTAAGACTAATGTGTTTTGATTTATTCTTTCTGTTATTAATCTCTCTTTTTTATTTACTAACTGTCGTCTATTAACAGAAGCCGGTCGTCGAGCGCTATGCACGAAGAAGCACGTGCAAGTTCTGCACAGGTTCTGCTCGCAGTGTCCCGATGAGCCAGAGTTCGATGGATTGTTGGCTCGCGTCTGTTCCGTCATTACGCTGTGTCTCAAACATCAAGCCTTACCAGTGCCTACAGCAAGCCCTGCCTCTTTTAATTTAAACCCTATACTTAAAGGTAAAACAATTTTTGTTCTTTTCAAAATTCTTTTATGTTTTTAAAACGAATTAAGTGATTATGAAACTGTGACTTGTAGTAACCAATTTATATATATTTCACTATAAACGTAATTTCCAGGTACAAATGCATCATGGCCATGCCACGAAGATGATGATGAGGGCGCAAATTCTGACACGAAAACTGTAAATTCTGACGCAGATGATGACGAACCTGACGCAGACCTCGAGGGTGTAGAAGACATTCCAGACATTGACATCGACGAATCTGATTTAAAACCTGAAAAGAGTATTGATTTGGAAAAAACAAGCATAAAAACCGGTGACAGTGCACAAAATTCACTTTGGATAAGTCCTAACGAGAGAGATACAGAAGACTTAAAGAAGTAAGTTATTGTTACCGTGGGATTCCACTGTAAAAAAATTCTAAGCAACATGTAGCTATCTCTTTCACTCTAATTGAAGAATAGAGAAAAAGATATTTTTGAATACAAGTGTTGTGAAAGTTGCATTTCCTGATTATAACATAAAGTTACTATTTAATTTACTTCATTTAATACATTTTTTATTTGGTTTCAACAATACAAAACTGACTTAAAACTATTTTACAAAACTGACCTTAAACTGTTTGCTACTAATTTAAAACCTTTGTTGTTAATTCCAGATACTACATTTATTTTAAAGAATTTGGTTCATATAATAGACAATTAAAACTAGTAAGAAGTCGTACTAGCTCTAGAGGTTCTATATTAGAAGAATTAATAAATACATCAGGCGGCAGTAAAAACATGCCATCGTCTATGAGTCTCTCGCTTTGCTCCATGTTAAGTAACACTGACTACGAGCGTGTGTCGGATGCTGGTCATACTGCATCATTATATCTATGTTGTACTAAAATCCAAGAAACTAGTTGTAAGTATCTATTAAACGATAAAAGTTTCTAATATTCACTTAAAGTAAATTAGATAATAATCAAAATGCCTTTTAATTAAACTTTTCAATTACTTGTATAAAGTTTTCATATGTTTCACCTTTATTTACTCTTTGTTGTTTTAAATTTCAGCCTTGACGTCTTGTACGTCGTTGAAAATTCATAAAGAAGTATCAAAGTACAGTATATTTCAAACAGTTTATTCAATAATCGCATCAAAAGTAAGGAGTGTTATACCGTTTGTGAAAGTGGCGTATCCGGACATGTCTGGTGGACAAAGTCTCAATCATCCGGAACCTTTGAATAAAATGGAGAGAGCTGCCTGCAGGTATACAAAATTTGATTTTTTTTTAAATTATAAGGTGGCAAACGAACAAGCCGCCTGTATTAGCCAAAGTAGCAAAGCGACTTCCCATAGATTAAACCGCAATTGCAGACGCGTTATCTACTCTCGATAAGACATTTAAATGTTTTCTTCCCGTAGTAGATGCCGAGGGACACTCTTAATGTCCAATTCTGAGTGTAGTAATAACCATTTAAAAATATTACATTATTTTCCAGGACTAAATTATTGTCTTGTGTGGATAAAGCAATCAATCCAGAATCATACATGAACGAAGTGGTATACGATTTAGATCAACTATGTGCTGCAGCAGCAGAAACCGCACCACAGAAAAGGTAGAAAATGTTTCTTTATAATTCTTAGTTACTTAATTGGCATATGATAATTATTTGTAAAAATTTCAGTACAGATACTCTACTGACAAATACAGATGAGCAAGAAATATCAAAAGCAAATACATTTCCGGCGCGATTGAGTTTCGAGTCGAGATTTGAATCTGGGAATTTAAGAAAAGCTATTCAGGTACGATGTTGTCCAATTTATCACTTCGTATAACACGTAACACTGTTTGTTTCTTTAAAAAGTTTAAAACCTATTAAATAGTGCCACAAAACCATTAATATTTAAATAAACTGTAGTGAAATGTAAATGTTTCGAAAGTTAATCTTATAACGAAGTATATTTTCAGGTAGGTCCAAGAGAATATGATCTAATTCTGATGCCAGACGTAAATTCAAATAAAAGGCATCAATGGTTTTATTTCGAAGTACGCAACATGCAGCAAGGAAGGCCGTATATATTTAATATCGTGAATTGTGAAAAATCCGACAGCCAGTTCAATTTCGGTATGAAGCCAGTATTGTATTCTGTTAAAGAAGCGGTTGCAGGGAAACCAGGTATTCATTCACCTTGTACATAATAATGTGTTTAAAGAGTCATTCTTTTCATTGAATATTTAATTTTAACTAAATTTTGTTAGGTTGGGTCCGTGCGGGCTCTGAGATCTGTTACTACCGCAATAGCTATCACTACGCGAACCAGAAGAGCCACAACAAGTGCTACCTCACCGTCACATTCAACATAGAGTTCCCGCACACAAACGATGTCTGCTACCTCGCCTACCACTTCCCGTTTACATATTCTATGTTACTGGTACTCTATTACTATTAGTAAACTTTATATTTTTACAATCATATTTAAAAGTAACCTGCAGTAATGTTTTGAAACTAAAAAATAAATATTAAATTGTTTTTGTTAGTTAGACAGAATTTTGAAAAGAAATATTTGCTCTTTTAACAACTTTACACAAATTATAAAATAATATGAAGGGTAAAAGTATTTAAAACATAGTAAGAGACATTCTTAAATAGTGCGTTTTTTATTTGTTAAGTACAAATTTAAAAACAAATGTTAATAATAAGGTATAAATGTTTTCAGACTCGTATCTTCCAGTGGAGTTTGCAGCTGCCCATTGGAGCATATCTGAGGGCGGAGCCACTTTGTTACTCACTCAACAATAACGAGATACCGCTATTGACAATCACGGCGGATGACTGCACTGCCAACCCCATCGCGGTATGTACCTTAATGCATTTTGTAATTCAAATATTTAAGAATCTTAGTATTGGATCGTTAGATATTTTAGAAATATTTGTATCGGGAAAAAATTAGTTGTCCCTCTTTTTCGTGCTCCTCATCTTTCTTTTCTCCGCCTTTTTATCTTCTCTTTTCTTAGCCTTTTTGCCCTCATTTTATTACCTATCCTTTTGTATATTTAAAACGTAGTGGTCACTTTACATCAAGTGAACCAGGGTTTCCCTCTTTCTATTAACATGTTATCTCTTTCTATCCCCTGTGAAGGATCGTGAGATAATATTCCTGACGGCGCGCGTGCATCCCGGCGAGAGCAACGCGTCTTGGGTGATGGACGGCACGCTACGCTGCCTGCTGGCCGACACGCCGTCCGCCGCCGCGCTGCGTGCCAAGTACGTCTTTAAGATCGTGCCCATGCTCAACGTCGAGGGCGTTGTCAATGGCTGGTGAGTCTTACATTTTATTGTACCTGTTCGAATGTACGACTTTCAGGACTACAAAACAAACCTTTTAGTTGTCTTAATGTTATCCTAATCCTATAACTTTGCTTTTTCACGTCCTTTTCGAACAAACAGAATTGGTTATTTATAAATAACGCAACAACTGCTTTTTCTTAGTTTAGAGAAAAATAAAACAATAAATTATTACAATTTTTATATTTATTAACTTACTACATCGTCTTATCTTAAAATTGAGTTTCAACTTACTAACATACTTATCTAGTTTCGTCGCATATTATAAACATAATCTTAAATCACTAATCCGAATGATATGTCCAGACCAATAATAGTTAGCGTCAATTTTCTTAAATAAATCTACGTTTTACTGTTAAATGTAATACCGGAGATCTAACGCGCACAAAATTTTTGACAAGAGCGAAATGTAGGTACCGCACCGCGTGCGTCACGAGCACCGTGCGGCCTCCGCCGCACGTCTGAAGACGGCGGCGAGTCGCACACGAGTCGCCGCCGTCTTCACGCATCTACCACCATAACCACCTTAAAATTCCCGACATACTAAAATTATACATAAACGATACCTAATAGTATAAATCTCATTTACATTTGTGTAATATGGATTTACTGATGCGTGAATGCATCTTTATTGAAGCAAGCTAAGTCTTATCAATGCTCTACACGCGCGTCGTTTTATATGAATAATACTTTTGGTAGAGGATATAGCTAATCGTCGTGGATAGTTTCCACTAGAGCGAGTGCCGCCGAGTCGTACGCTAGTAGCGCGGGGGGGCCAGCATGCCGCTGGCGTGGACGGAGTGCTCGGTGGCGTCCGGCTCGGCGGTGGAAGCTGCGCCCTCGCCCGCCTCCCCCGCTGCACCCGCCGCGGCTTGACCCTCCTGCGTGAGGTATGCGGCCGCGTCGTCTCCCACCATGCCCTCCTCGTTGTCATACGGCCCCTGAGTGGGCTCCTCCTTCTCCTGCTCTTGTTCGTGGCTACGAGCATCGGCCGCACGTGAATAGTGCGAGTCTATCTGCGGGGAGGCCTTGGCAGGCGATCCGGATTTAAGGTGCGGCGAGCGGAGGCCGTCAAGGGCTGAGGGTTGCAGCTTGTCAAAGAGCACGCTGATGTTGAAGTGGGTGGGCAGGTGCTCGGAGCGCGGCGGCGGCGGCGACGACGAGGTGAGAGGATACGCTGTCGTCGTAGTCGTCAGGGACAGCGGCTTCCTATAGGACAGACGGGACGCGACCCTCACATAACGATTATATAATACAGCGCCTCAATTTCCTCCCGTAGTGGGACGATTTAAGGCAAACATAACCCAAATGTTGAGTTACTAAATAACTCTGGTTAGATACCAAGCAAAGCCCCCTTCACCCACCCACCAAATTTTTGTTAATTTAGACAATCCCACAAATCTACATTTAGCTCTTAGTTATGAAATTAAAACAAAAGTAATAAAGTGTAAAAGCCAATATCTTGGGTGTAGGGATCTTGTTTGGTGGTTGGGTTGTACGCAGGGGCCTGATCCCGCAGCTCGCGCGCTTCGGATACCGTTATGTTGACGGTTGTAGTAAGACAAATCTACATCTAAATTGTTAGCACACAAACTACTCCGATTTTAATAATGATTTTAGTAACTACGTCTCGATATTAGAGATAGATGTCGTCCTGTTGACATGTAGTGAAGCGGTGCGGTGGAGGATGTGCGGAGCGCGCGGCGGCGGGGGCGGGCCCCGGGTTGCTGGCATCTCACCTGGCATTACCCCTGCGCCGAGGACACGGGGATGGAGCCGTAGTTGTAGTAGTAGCAGCGCGTCTGCTCGCAAATGAAGTCCTTGATCTCCCCGCAGTGCTGTGGCTCCCAGTGGAAGTCGGGCTGCTTGAGCGCCACGCATCCGTTGGCCATCACGTGCTCGGTCCTGGAATACCTACAATGGTTCAATTTTGTTTAAACTAATAAACAAAACTATTGCCTCTTTCGATATGACAAATTCACGAGGCATGCAAATAGTTTGTTGTAATTGGTTTGGTTATTGCTCATAAATACTTTAAATCATTGAGACCTTTCATATTACGCATTGACCAATATAAGGATCTCTTAGCTTTAATTGGTCTGACGATAATTGTGATTGTGGTGCAGATGTTGTTGATGATGGCAATCATGATAGTGACGTACCCGTGCCTGGCAGTGCGCTGAGGTGCAGTGCTGCCCTGCGGCAGGTCAACAGGGTCCATGCTGTCGTCTGAGTGCTGGTAGGGGGTGACATTGCTCATTCGCCGCATGTAGTTGAAGGTGGCATTGAACGGCAAACCGGTACTCATCCATAGGTACATGTCGGTTCCCAAATTATTACCAGACGTCCAGAAATCATATTTGTTGTACCCTGAAAATGGGCATTTGAAAAAAAAAGTATTATACAATTTTGAATACTCTGTGACAATGTGATCACCAACCAGTCTATGTTAGTTGGTTTTTAACACTATAACAGAATGCAGGAGTTTATAATTTACCTGCATTTAAGAGGTACGTAGTTATGGAGTCTGCTTTTTCTTTTGTTTCAAAAGAAGCTAGTTGGAGACCTAAGGATCTGAAAACAAAAAAAAATAAATTAAACGATATGTTTGGTCTCAAACATTAAAGGGATCGTTCGACGTGAATTATTTTGATTTATTTATTGAAAATTTAGATACGTACGTTTAAAAGTTAAAATCTTTTAATTGTTACTTCCTATTTTTTATTGTGAATTAGCAAATAGAGAAGACTATTAAAAATGAATAATGCTACAATAAAAGTACTTATTAATTACCTAAGGTTTATATTCTAAACGGAACTGTACTCATACGTGGTGAGTCTATTTCTATCTTCATAATTATTTACGACTTCCTTTTCTCGCAATAAAATTTCCGCGCTGTCTTAGAACTCATAAAGTACATATAAAATTATTATAAACGGGTCTTTTATACGTACGAGTCTTTAGATGTTAAGTCATTGACTTGCATATGAAATTAAACGTGGGAATCGTCCGCAATGCACCTGGCTATGACAGGGGCCATTTATACTTGTAACGGCGGATCTAAATACGCGATTTAACTAAATAGCTATTCCAGCTAATCGCGGCTGTGGAACCAAGCGGAGGCTGTACCGGAGCCCGTTTATCGCGGAGCAATTTGTTTGCTAAATACAGACTGCTACGTGACGAAGCCGCATTCCTTGGAGTAAAGAACTTTACGATAAAAACCTTCTTAGTCGCGTACAGATTGCTCTAAACTTGTACTACAAGTATAAACTATGTTGCATAATAAAACGCTCAATATTTATTACCTTTCAAATTTGTAAAAATAACGCTGTTGGTACTTTTTCCAAGATTTTACTCGTCTTGGTGAATTAATCTTCATAGAGTCTTATCGCCTCTACGTATAACTATAGTTTTAGTTAAAATTCTCGTAGAAAAATGAATTGCATTACTAAAAGTGAACTAAAGTCATTCAAAATTCAAGCACGCAAATGAACTACTTACGAATCGTAACGTCGAATTCGCGAATGCGTTGCGAATTTGTAATGCCACAATTATTGCAGTTCCCATTGACATATCCCACCATCGTCATATCGATATTTTACACCATAACTGTATCGATGTTGTCCGAAGACTATCAATATTCGCACGTCGTGTTCGCCTCCAGTTTTTGAGAACATGCTTTAAATTATGCACGATGTAACTCAATGAAACGTTTTAATTTAAAAATCATAAACTTGGTACAACTAATTGAATATTTAAGTTACGTATATTTTAACATGTTTCGATGGTAACGTGACTACGCTCCGTGTGATCGGATGGATAGCCCTTGACTGTTTAATAATATTCTATGTAATCATACTAATATTATAAATGCGAAAGTTTAGATGGATGGATTTTTGTTAGAGTTTGTAGCCTAAACGGCTGGACAGATTTCGATAAAATTTGGCATAGATGTAGAGAGTAGTCTGGAAGAACACATAGAATACTTGCATTTGTATTTTTTAATTCCGCGCGGACGGAGTCGCGGGCGAAAGCTAGTAAAAAAATTTTAACAAACACAAGTGTGTGTACTGCGTTCTTTAACGTTAACCTCTTTTTATTATGCATTACTACGTACGCTACGAGGGGCGATCAATTGGATCATTATCTTATGACCTGACGCAGTGTATGACACGTCGTTAGAAAGAACTTATCGAGACTGCTTCGTGCGATTCTCGGTCCTAATGGACTATACAATACAATCCTTGTTACTTCAATTTTAAATCGTGTGACATCCAATTTTAATGTGATTCTAGTTGAAGAAGTCATCTTACACGATCACCACAATGGGGCGGATTTAATATCAGTATTGTTCACCTTAGGGATGGCTAACAATGGGAATTGTAAATATGTAGGTCGTGCCGGCTCCGAGATCGAAGGACATCGTGACTGGGCAAAGGGGACTGACCTCCGCCATCTCCCGGCTGTACACGTGGTGGACCCGGCATCACGAACTTGGCATTATGTAAGCGGTCATAACAAGCATCAAACGAACTAACCAGCGATAGATTCCCACGTCAGAGTAAGAATGAAACAATAGTAAAACGAGTAATAATTTACGATTAGTCGCATTCCATTCACGGCATCACTTTACAACTGGGCCCTCATGCTTTGGTCGCGTTCCGTGGGAAAGGTGCGCCAATAACGCCGGGAGACGGGCATTAAAAAGTATGAATGGCTCGCGGAAGTAGCTCACCGAGGCGCCGATATTGTTCTCGAGTTTTCCCAGAACCAATAACGGGAATGTAAATGTCCCCGAGCTTCCGGGTCTCGGCAGTCCGCAGTGGCCGGCGGCTGTCGGCGATGTTAACGCCCATCGCGGCTTGCTTATGGCAACATCTGAACAGGATCACAGCAATGATAGCTCGGATAAGAGCTGCGAGTCACGACCTAACTATTATATCGAGATGGGACGTTGCTCGCGGGGCAAT